AGGCTAAGTGAATTTCAATGGGATCGTCAGACATATAGTTGCGGGAAAACTCGTCTACCGGCCCTTAAGTTACCCTAAGCAACCTAGGGTTACTTAGTCCTGAGGCCTTTTAAAATGAAAACAGTTTATATTGATGATACGAAGAGAAACTTGGTTTCGATGAATCTCCTGAGATAACATTGTTAGGGGGACCTTCATTTCGAATGAAAGTACATGATGAAGAGATTCGTTTTTCGATATGACCAGATGAAGACGGATGAAAATGGTTGTACTGCAGCCGTTTAGCTTTTATATTATATTCATGTTGACGCAGTCCACGAGTATTCCTCCCTCGTGTGTTCAGAACAAGCAAATTTCAGGACATCTCTTCGTCGAGTCCATATCCATTGAACTTGCTCCTCTCGGCACCGCATCCCCGAACCGCTTGCTTAGTCGCTCAGCCAGCGACGTTTTCACCCGAAACGAGGGAGGAATACTCGTGGATTGCGTCAACATGAATATAATATAAAAGCTAAACGGCTGCAGTACAACCATTTTCATCCGTCCTCATCTGGTGAGATCGAAAAACGAATCTCTTCATCATGTATTATGATTCGAATTGAAGGTCCTCTCTAACAAAGTTTATATTGAGATAAAAAGTTCTCAAAAATCGGTTCCTGCTCTAGTATCCAGGCCTCCCCAAGGAGGCCATGATGTCCGGGCCGTTGAAAACGGTGTAGACACGTTTCCCCCAGAATCCCAAGTCCCTAAAACTCGCAGAAACACGAAATACCACTTCAGAACCGAGTTAAGTGTCGACACTGTACTAGCAGCTGTTTTGATCCCATTCTTTATAGGCCGTCCATTCAGAGCGACATGTCGGATGAGGTTGTGTCAGATTAGCATGACCATTTCGAAGTGGCTTCACCACTCGACTGGTCATCGAGGTTTGCGCCTTAAAGTCGTCGGCTTGGTGCCCCGAATGGTGAGCAGTATCCGCTCCCTTCGCGGAGGGTGGAGGAGGGACTAAGTTGGAGGATTGGGAGAGTGGCACTGCCTGCAGACATGCCCCACAGGCGGCCGTACCAGACGTTCCAGACCGAAGGTGTGGCATCGAAAGTGGTTAATGAAAAAAGAACGTGAGAAGCCTGTACGTAGCCGTTTGGAGGCGAGAAGAGCGTCTGCAGAAGTAGCTGACCGGTTGCAGTCGACTCGGAAAAAGCATAAAGCCTGGCAAGACGGCAGATGAAAG